CTTTGCTTGATTCTCATGCTAGTGGACTTGTCCCTCAGCTTTAGGCTTTATTAGCTTTCTGAAGTGAGCATAAAGTCTAAATTGAATAGATATTGAGAAAAAGTCTTTTGTGATGAAAGTTGCAAGTTCGGATTACCCACACGCTTGTGATGTAGAGGTATCCCAACATATTTTCCCAGGTTGGGTGTGATTTGAAATTCCATGTGACCACTAATCTCCATGGCTCTATTGTGATTTGCATTTTTGGAGAAAAAGACTTTTGTCTTCTCCCTACTTACTCGCAGACCAGAAGAAGAACAAAAAGTATGCAGTAACTTGCGAATAGTCATAACTTAATCCATAATAAAATTGAAAGTTACCCTCATTAACAAGCCCACTGTATCTTAACCCATAATAAATTTTGTAAGGGCCTTTTAGTTGTTCTTCTGCCCAAGCAATTAATGGAGTCACTGTGATCCACTACAGGAACCAACAAGTGATGAAAACGACTTGTCCACCTACACTTCAAATTTTGTGCAAACGTGATGTTATCAATATTACATTTGATTGGTCCCCTTCACCCTTTCTTAATTGCATGTCTTATCCAGATATTATAGTTAATAAATTATATAAGGTTTTTTTGTGGATTAAATTATATGTCTTATCTTTCCTTTACGTAACTTATACCTTTTTATTTATGTTATTTATTTTCAAAGAATTTAGAAACACTTAAATTTTTATGCTGGTTGTAAATGATGTCATTTTAAGATATTTACAATATTACTCTTCTTGTTTGCAAACTTTTATTTTTATCACCATTTCTTGTTATGCATTTTAACTAACATTTTATTGTGTAATTGTTATGGATACAGACTTTATTGCTAAAGCATTTGGCAATTATGGCTTGCAACTTTTTGGTTATAGTTTTAAAAATGCATCATGAGTTATGCGATTATGGAATTATTATGATTTATTTAAAGATTATCATCTCAGCTTTGCCATTTTTTGACGCGCTTTGTAGGTATAGAATTAATTGGATATTGTATTTCTTTCATAGTGTATATTATTCTTTACGTCATCAACTAATACATGCTTATCGAATATCCTCACAAATGTATAAATCTGGGGAGGCAAAAAGGAGATTCGAGCCATTGGGTTAACATGCGGAAGCATTTGTCGACAATTGTGGGAGCAATAATTAGAGTAACATATGTCATGTTGCATAATCTTCTATGGCTTGTTATATTCACTTCTATACTAATCACGATATTTCAATTATGCTGGGAATTTGTCATGAAATGAGGATTTTTTAATGGCAACTTCAGGCTGAGGGATGATCTTGTTTTTCAACATAAAATCTTGTACTATATTTGTAGCGTAAGTTTTCTTTTACGTCTTTCTTATCTGAATATTGTAATTGCAAATATATATTTTTTATATCAGACAATGATATTGGATTGCAGCTCTCGAATATTTTCCTGAGATTCACATGGATAATGAATCTCGTGAAGGTTTTGAAAAAGTGGCCACAACTAGAGCTTTTGCTAGCTACATTTGAGATTATCCGAAGAGGACAATGGAATTTCTACATGTGCATCTTATCACAAATAGAAGAGAGAGTCAAATGATTAATTAATTAATTAATTAATTAATTTAAAATTTCCTGGTTAAATAATATGTTAAATTCATTTAATTACTCATGAACTTCATAACTTTCTTGAATAGGTTGGAAAATGAGCACAAAAATTGTTACCATGCAACAGATAACAAAACTCCACTGCTAAACAGTGTCATTTCATCTGCAAAGTCTAACTTGTCAGATGGTGGTCCTTCGGAGGAGAAGAATGATGGTGCAGACTCGAGCAATTCATCTGCAACGATTCCAGAGTCTACTTATTATCCGCCAGACTGTGCAGGCAATAAACCCAAATCTCATCATTTATTTGTTTCAATTAGGTTTAGTTCTATCTTATAAAATCTCATCTTAAAATGCCAATTCCTATTGACGGATTAACAAAAATTGTTTATGTGACAATCACTTGAATGACAAGCATTTGACTGGTGATATTTGAATCAGTGTTCTAGCTCACTAATGGCTATTATTTATTTATCTTTGTTGGGTTGAGATATTTAGCAAAATGGTGGGTCAATGAGTGTTCCAAATTGGATTAGAAACTAGTTTGGTCTCCAAAACTAGGCAGAGCCAAAGATGATAGAAATTAGAGATGATAAAGAAAGTAGGAATAATATAAGTATATTTACTACCTTTTTTGCCAAATAGGATAACTCAAATGTTTATCTGTTGAGTTCTTGCCACTGTGATGTCTTTTGCGTGTCATGTCGTAATTTATGTTAGTCCCTAAAATAGAGTTAGTATTTAGGGTAAAATTGGTGACATTTATGTAAAATATTAGACGTTACATAAACAAATAAAAGTATAGGGATAAAAATTAAGCTTAAGATCTAAGACTTACTTAAAAAACCAAAGGTGCATTTTGGCCTTAACTAATTTTATCATTGTCAATAACATTTATATAAAAGGGAGCGGCCTTATTCTATGTTTCATCTATAAATTAAATGACTTTCAACATTTTATTTTAAAACAAAATTGTATTTTAGATTTATTTTTCCCCCAGTTAGGTGGCTATGCGAATCTTGTAAAGATATGTTACTAAGAAATCTAGTATTGTTAGCAATTTCAAATCTCACAGGTTCTTTTTTTGCTTTCGCTGGTTACAGTTTTAATGGCCATGTATATGCAGATTCTTTATCTATCAATTCTAATTAGTTTGATAAGGGAACTGCTCTTTTTAGTTTTTAAACATTGATATCTTAATAGTTTTATTTTGTAAATACTACACATTCGTTTGTTTACTTGTGTGCCTTCGCATGAATGTGGAGCAACTTTGATGGATTTGTGTTTTTCATTACAGGGGAACAAGATAACCAAAAGTTGTCGTTTGCTGGAGAAGATGATACAAGTGGCACAACAAATTAGATTGAAGTTTGTTGCAGCGCCTGAAAGATATTAAAGTTGTGTGTTGAATATGGAGCAATTTTGATGGATTTGTGTTTTTCATTACTGTTTATATCTATTTTTAGAGTTGAAATATTCGTGGATTTCAATATGGGCACTGGATCTTTTTTCATAGGTAATGTTGCCAAATTATCCAAGGTGTAAAGTCTGAAGTTTTTTTTTATTGTTTATGTTTTTATATAAGTTCCCTGGGCGTGTTACTGAGACTAAAAAACGAATGCTTAAGCTTAAATGATATAAGGGATTAACAATCTTTAGGGGAACACTACCCTGTCCGTACGTGAACTCTGGGGTAGGGTATAGTTTGGAAATTTTCAGCAATATAAGTGTGTGCCTTATGAAACTACATGTGATATTAAAATTTTCAAACAGACTTCAATCAGAAATTTGTATGTGGGGTAGAATACAATTCTCCTAATCTTTAACAAGACTTGAGATTATTCCTATTTAAAGAGGTGTCTTTTTTTCACTACAATAAGTCAAATTATTTTTAAGACAAAATTGTGTTTTAGAATTTCTTTTTCCCGAGTTACAAGACAAAATTACACATTACCTTCTCCCTCTGCCACCTCTGCTATCTGGCGGCGTTTGTAACGCCCGGTTGTACACCTGAAAACGTTAACATTGCTTATGATATTAAGCGTAATTACAATCATATTGGATCAATTTAAACTACGGATAAACTTTTTCTTTTAAACATTGTTCATTTACTTTTTAAAACAAAATCATATTTAATATAACCATAAATATAATTGTAATCATGTAACATTATCTAAACTGAGATCACTACACTTAACCATTAACTCTATCCTTTTCATTATGATAAACTAGACGTCTAGGACTTTTTGGAAAGATATTACAATAATCATTTGGTTAAGTATACCCAGATATTAAACTCACAAGGTTGCTGACGAGATTGAACTTTCGAAATTGTAGCATCGACTTCAATCCCAAAATGATATTTATATACACATCCAATGGCTCTAATATTTTACAGGATTATAGTCCTATGTGTTAGCTTCACATAGGTTCAAACCTCACTAAATTTGGAGCTCACTCGAGTTATGCCAATTTTACTAAATTACGTTCATGCTGAAATCGGGCAGCGTGCTTGAGCGCGCTCTTTGAACACATTTTTCGCCTAGTAGCGCGCTTTATAGCGCCCTGACAGGGGAAATTGATATTTTTAAGCTACTAAGAGCATCTTAGCGCGCTCTAACAGATAAAAACATGTTCAATCTGCATAATGACACCAAACGTGATGAAGAATTAGGTGAATTAGATAGCTAATAGACTAGATGCCTTTTGGCCAACCGCTACATAAACACATATTACATTTTGTCCTTGTTGATTGAGAAAAAATTTATGAAATTTCACTTCTTATAATATTTTCAAATCGATCATTTTTCCTCTTTTTTTTCGCCCCATGTCGTTACACGGGGGCGAAAAAAGGCATCCAAACAAATCAATTTTTTTAAAACCTTCAACAAAACACGCCTGTTTAACTCACGAATAATTATGCTTTAGTTTCATTGTTCTCAGTTATATTACTGATTTAATCATAGTTTAAAGTCGATTAAATTTATTAAATGAAGATTTAACAGTATTGTGAATTCGATCTGCAATTTAAATTCATTAATCACTACTATTAAGGATGACATAAATGATAGATGCGAGTAAAAGACTTGTTTAGTGTTTACCAAAATAGAAAAAAAGAAGAAAAAAAGACTTATTTAGTGATGCGAGAGACATCGTGACTAACATTTAATAAAAAAATTACTATTACAATATAAAACAATAAAAAATGAAATAAAAAAAAATATGTAGGAAAAACTAACATAAAAGAAAATAATTTGTTTTTGTCCTTTATATTATTTTAGTTAAAATTAGTATTTTTTATTTAAAATTTAAATTATAAAAAAAACTAATGTAAGCAATTTAAGGCGGCGAAGAATCTATAGGTACATAAGAACCCTAGGCTTTGTCTTCTTTTGAGTTGAAACTTGAAACTGAAACCCTAGAAAAACAAACATCGCATACTCACCGAGATCTCAACCGTTTTCTCCGATGGCCGGTCAAAGGAGTTCTCACGGGAAGCGTTCCCACTCTCAATCGGATTCCGACCACCACAACAACGGCGGCGGAAACAAAAACAAGAGGAGGAACCCCGGCGCTGACGACAACAACAGGGACCAATTCCTCATCAATCAGGACGACACCGTTTACCGTTACCTCTGCCCTATTCGCAAGATCGGCAGCGTCATCGGCCGCGGTGGCGAGATTGTCAAACAGCTCAGATCCGACACGAAATCGAAGATTCGTATCGGCGAATCGCTGCCGGGATGCGAGGAGCGAGTGATTACGATCTACAGCACCGCTGACGAGGCCAACGAGTTCGAGGATAGCGGCGATTTCGTGTCGCCAGCGCAGGACGCGCTGTTTAGGGTTCATCGTCGAGTTGTCGCTGAGGACACGCGCGGCGGCGAGGATGATGAGGATGATCAGGACGAGGATGAGGGAGGGAAAGGGAACCAGGTTACCGCTAAGCTTCTGGTGCCGTCGGATCAGATCGGTTGCGTGATAGGAAAAGGCGGCCAGATTGTTCAGAGCATCCGGAGCGAAACGGGCGCGCAGATTCGGATCCTTAAGGATGAACGCTTACCTGCTTGCGCCTTGAGCTCTGATGAACTTGTTCAGGTATAAACTTGATGTTGTGATTTGTTTGATCTGAATGGAAATTATTTGTTTGATGCTGGACCAAGAGGGTATGTCATATTTGTATTTCTTTGTGATCTAATCATTATGAAAGTCTTGGGCCATGGTCTTTCGGTGAGAATTTGACTCTTTTGGAAATATGGGCAAAAGGAATTGGGCACAGAATTTAAGTGTGCCGACTTTCTTGCTGAATGGGATTTCAGCCATGCTTCTTGGGAGAAATGGTGTGATCCTCCTCAGGATTCAACCTGCTAGCTTTTTGCTGATCTTTTGGTGTTTCTTTGCGTAGAGCTTAGCCCCCCCCCCCTCTCTTTTTTCTCTCTCTTTTGCTCCCAAAGGAAAAGGAGTTGGACACAAGTATTTATCAATCTTTAAATTTTTTAAAAGATTATGAAAGACATTATAGATAAGAAAATATTTAACTGGATCTCTGTTATTTAATAATAACTATTGTTATTTAGTTCAACTAGGAAATCATATTGTATCTTTTCATTCTTTCCAACAGAATATATAATAATTGTTTTTTTTTATAAGTTTTTATTGGTTGTGGAAATGCAGATTTCTGGGGACGCTGCTGTTGTGAAGAAGGCTCTGTATCAAATAGCGTCTCGGCTTCATGACAACCCGTCACGGTCTCAGCATCTGCTTACTTCTGCGGTTCCCGGTGGATATGGGACTGGCGGTTCACTTGTGGGTCCTACTGCAGGGGCTCCAATTGTGGGAATGGCTCCTCTTGTGGGTGCTTATGGAGGGTATAAAGGTGATGCTGGTGACTGGTCCCGGTCCTTGTATTCGGTTACAAGGGATGAAGCATCTATGAAGGAATTTTCAGTTCGAATTGTTTGTCCAACTGGAAACATTGGAGGTGTGATAGGTAAGGGTGGTGGTATAATTAATCAAATTAGGCAGGATTCTGGGGCAACAATTAAAGTTGATAGTTCCGCAACTGAAGGAGACGACTGCTTAATAACCATTTCAACAAAGGAGGTGAGATATTGATTTTCAAGTGTATCTATATTTTTTTTTTAAATTAAATTTATTTGTGTGGCGCGGACTTGTGATGTAAATTTATGATTTTTGTAGTCATGATTAATTTTCATTGTGTTTATGTAGTTCTTTGAGGATTCTTTCTCTCCAACAATAGAAGCAGCTGTGCGTTTGCAACCCCGTTGCAGTGAGAAAGTTGAAAGAGATTCAGGGATTGTGTCTTTCACTACACGATTGCTGGTGCCAACATCACGAATTGGTTGCCTTATTGGTAAGGGAGGAACAATCGTAACTGAAATGAGGAGGCTTACAAAAGCTAACATCCGCATCTTATCGAAGGAAAATCTTCCTAAAATTGCATCTGAAGATGATGAAATGGTGCAGGTAAGGGCATTGCTGTAGTTTGATTTGGTAATCTTGTTTTCTTTGTGTGATAAAAAATGGCCTATAATTCTTAACAATGGTGGTTTTGTTTTTTTTCCCTTGATTAGATTTCGGGAGACCTGGATGTTGCCAAGGATGCTCTTGTTCAAGTACTCACACGATTAAGAGCAAATCTTTTTGATAAGGAGCGTGCTGTCTCATTCCTTCCAGTACTGCCATATCTTCCTGCTTCCGCTGATGGATCAGATGGTTTGAACTATGATGGTAGAGATGGTAAACGACATGGACGCTCTTATTCAGGTGCATATGGAAGCTCAAGTGATTTGGCATCTGGGGACAGTTATGGAAGCTTTGGAAGTTCGCAGGTACTTTTTACAACCATACAAGTTTGTTGAGAATTTTACGTGTAGATGATGAGTTCCACAAGTTCAACTATTATTTCTCAATTCATTGTTTTTAATTTTGTTCCATTTGTCTGTAGCTTGGTAGTGGCAATGCTTACGGAGCTTATGGAAGTTATTCTTTGGGACGGACTAGTACTTTGGGGTAACCATTCAAGTTACTTTTTGTTCCAAGTATCATTGTTATTTTTTTGTTCCTAGTCTACATATTCTTCCCTGTTGATGCTGTGAAGAGGCCACTCTTACTGCTATTTTATTCCAAGTGTTCCCAAAGTCATCAACGCTGATATTATCTATCTTTTGCTAGGTTATCTAGTCAGAATGGGGTTTCTCGAAGGAGAAATGCTTACTAAGACTTGACGTGCCGCTCCAGGTAGATTACTGTTCTAGTGATTTCTTTTCATTATATGGTAACTTCCTGTAATATAGGCTATTCACATTAGTATATAACAGATTGATATCTTAACCTGACCAGTGTACCATTTAGAATTCTGATGCTCTTGTTTTCCCTTTGTTGCCTTTCACCTCCCATCCAAACAGCTGAGTTCTGTGAAGCCTGCAGCCTACTGCCTAAACCGGAAGACCAGATGAACCAGGGTTTGACAAACTCATGGCCCACCCTGACGCCTCTACCTAGAGGACCAAACATGTGAAGACTATTGAAATTGGCCATGTCCACTTTACCTTATTTCCCTAGCTTGATAACTTGTGCTCCTAAGAACCTCTAAAACCAGCTTGCCTTTGTGGCTGTTTTTTATTCCTGTTCAGTTGTCTTTAGATCTAAAACACCATGTAGCTATGATCCTCTGGCAGTTGTTTACCTGTATTATTATCCTTGGGTTTTGGTTTTCTGATGGTTCACCGCTATATACAAGATGAACTTTTGTGGTTATTTAAATTTAATGATGTTGATTTCTGGTTAGTTGACGTTATAGTCTTTATACATCAAAATTTGGTAGAACTTGTGTCGTCTTTATTGCAGGTGTTAATATCTTCCTATGCCATAAGCAAGGGTGTGCTGCATTGTGTAACTGAAAATTCATATTTATGTAGTTTTGAGTACATCAAATGTGATGAATTAAAGGTATGAAAGCTGTTTTCATATGTGCAGTTGACTGCACTGTTGAAGCTCATAGTGAAACACTTACTTGGCTATGGCAATGCATTGGGGGACATTTATAATCTTTGGTGATTCAGAAGTAGAACAATATCCCGTTTCTTGTCTCTTCTGCTTTGCCAATGTGGTACATACCTGGTCTTTGTTTTCAAATTTTGTACCTAGTGCATGGTCTTATGTTTGAGCTTAATTAGTATTTAAGTGCTTGGTGAAGTTATTGCATTTACCCCATTTTTTCCATTTATTCATGGTGTTAGGCCGTTGGATTACTTGCATTAGTCATTGGTTTGATTCTTATGACACAATGGGCCCTGCATAAAGGTTTGCCTTTTTTTGTGGGGCTAAAGTACCCAATTGGGATGAATTAAAAGCTATTTACCACATTGGTATGATTTTGAAATTATTTCCCACTTTGCCATTGTTTTTGCCGTGCGGGCAAAAACAAAAATATTTTTGTCCTCTACAAGTATTTACGCGAGTCCAATTAGGGCAATATATAGTCTATATGATAGATGCAAACATACCAATTTCGGATAGCGGCGCGTACTCGCCTAACCCAAAAACGCTATAGCTGAATAGCGGGGAGCGGTATAGCCTGTATGCTTGAACATGGAACCAAAAAGTGGCGGGCTTGCCGGAACAAGAAATGGAGTAATGAAAGGCCAACTAGACGAGAAGAGAGGTGGGCTCGCCAAAACATACATGGCATTGTTGGAACATGGAGCAAAGTAGTGAACAAAGGCCAAACAAATGAGAAAGCTAAGGTGGCCTTGTCGGAAAAATTGCTAAATTAGTCTAAGAGCCCGTTTGTATTGACTTATCAAAAAAGTCCTTTTCATGACTTCCTTATTTTAAAAGTACTTTCTATAAATGCTACAACTATTTAGATTTTTAAAAAATATTTAATTTAAAAAAAAAATATTTGGCTTTCGACTTTTGTTTTTTATAGAAGCTAAAATTTTTAGCTTCTGAAAAAAGCAGGTTTTTGACTTTTTTTATGACTTCTGCTTTAAAGCAGGCATGCAAACAGACTTTTTACGAGAAGTGATTTTTTTCTTCTTAAAAAAAGCACCTCTTGAAGAAAAAAAAGCCCATCCAAATGGGCTCTAAAACAGATGAGAAAAGAAGTGCAACAATGAAATTGTGGTGGGCTTGCCGAAAAATTGCATGTCATTATTGGGATTGATGGAAAAGCCTAGAGAGAGAGCAGTGAGTTGAGAGAGGCAATGAGTCAAGAAAATAGGGGTCAGAATTTGATGTTACCCCATTGAATTGCTCATGGAAAACTAAATACACCAAGGCAAAGAAGGGATTTATCCTTCACTCTAGCAGCATGATTTTGTCGCATTTTAGGCCGATACAGCTGCTACTCCAAGTTGTCAAGAAAATAGGGCTCCCCCCACCATGTATCGCTACAATGCCACGATAGCGGTGAATTGCATGCGATCAATAATCTAGTGTAGATGTTCAACAAAATAGCTATATATAGGATTTTGCATCTATGAAGTAGACCGTATGGTATGCATTTGCTACTTGACCCATGGTTGTTAAATCAGGATTTCAATTGCAAATCGGAAAGCCTATTTTCCGAATCGTGAATTGTATGATTTGTGATCAATGATTAGAAGTTATCTAAATATATTTAATACATAATGAAACTATCAAAAATGGTGTACTAGTTTAGAAATAGAATAACTTTTTATTTCCTTTTATATGCACATTTATTAATGACCCATCCAGGCTAAACTATCAATTTGGTGATAGTTTTCAACACTTTACCCCACAATGTGGTTGTGTTTGGTGCTCCATATTTCTTTTTCGTTTAATCTATGTGACATTTGTGTTGTTTCATGTGGACTAATGTTGAGATTCCAGTAACACATTAAGAGTATATATTCTTTCGTGATTGTATCTCATTCAGCTCTTCTATGGCATAGTGGTTTGGTATGAACCTGTTATTAATTATGCTAAAAATGGAAATATACTTCTAGATAGATTCAAACTGGTCTCCTCTATAGTTATTATCAGGCAGTGATCATTTGAACTAGAGAACATGGGACTAAAAGTCTAAAACCATAGACTCTAGATAATCCAATGATATCATCCAAACTGGTTTTGATGGTTTTATATTGTTTTGGCCTGTTTTTCATTGGTTCTTGGTTCCTTCAGTTTTATGGGCTGAATGGACTCAATACAAGACTGGTTCATTGGTTTTCTTGTCGAACAGGCTGCTTTTGTCCTGTTTTTTATTCTATGCTTATAACTACAATTATGTTCAAGTTATTCGTTTTTATTAAACCCACTTGTATCTTTTGAAGCAGTTCAATCATTCCGTCAACAAAATTTCAATTACATTATTTTTTTAATGGGTTAGTGTTTAGCATTAATTTTAAGGGAGAGAAGTTTGAATCCCATTCTTAGATAGGAATCAAATCCAGTACCTGTAGCATATGGATGTTCAGGCCTGTGAGTTGAGTTGGGCTTGGCTGGTCTGTTTGACAAGTTTCAGGCAATTAAACAGTCTTCATGTGACTGACATGACATTTGTGCTAAAAAAATTATTTTACCATATGGATGTTTTTTTTTTTTTTGTTCACAAGCATTTGTGCTAGCCTACATATTTGCCATGTAAATCAGCGCAAATGGTTACATAGCCCTTAAAAAAGAGGGAAACCACCTCCATGTGGTAGTTTTTTGTTTATTAACCTGGGTGCTTTACCCTGTGTGACTTATGTTTATGCAAATAGAGTTACTTGTATAATATTACCTTAAGTACTTGTCTGGAAAATTTGGCCTTCGTTGAACTAGGAACAGGAAGCTTGGAGGACCCAAATTTCTTTTGGATGTGAGTCTTGCCCTCTTCTAGGTTTGGATAAACATGAAACAAATGTTAACATGCCATTTTGATGATTCCTGGGATTTTGGAAATCATTCAAGTAATATTTGGAGATATTGTGGGTAATTGAAATTCAGTGACTTGTGTGGTATGTTCTCCCCTTTCCCTCCTCCCTATTCTTGCTCTGTAACTTTAATTGAATGCAACTGTATTTCTTCCTCCAGGGCACTTCAGGTATGGAACAGGTAAGCTTGGCTTGTAGAGTAGGTATATTAGGTCTGAAAAAATGTAGGCATAATATCTTACCCCGTAAAGAAAAAGATAGCATAACTAAAGTTGCTTTATGATTTTGTTCTCTATGTTCCCGTCCCCCTTCCTTTTCGGTTAACTCGTATCAAAGGAAGTGATATTGTAGAATTCCAACGGATGAGTTGGATCAGATCTTTTCCACCGTCCATCGCCTTTGACTAGGAGTCTCTGATCGTGGTTCAAGGATGGTTTATCTAAAAACAGAGAGAGATGAAGGAAAATTTAGTGGAGGGACCTCTTTTAAGTTAATCTGATGTTTTGGTTGAATCATTGTTCAGTATGACTTTTTTGCTTTCTATTGGTGATGTAGATCTGTTGTGTTGTTCCAACTTACATAATTACACTCTTGTAGATTTACACAACTGTCACTCTGCACGCTGAGATATTACAAGCTTAGTGTGTGCAGCATCTTAAAATATACCAAAATAGTGCAATTTAAGGTAGAAATAATAATAATAATAAGGAAAAAGTTCACCAATGCTCCTGTGGTTTTTTTTTATTTATCACATATGCTCTTGTGCTTTGTAAAAAATAAAAAAATAAAAAATTACAGGGACATATGTGATAAAAAATCTACTTTTTTGCAAATTCACAATAAATAAAGGTCATTGATTTGATTTCAAGACAACCATTTTAATGTATGCAACATCTTAAAATATATCATAATCGTTTTTATTTTTTTGCTATTGTGGAAAATCCTGGTGAATGATACATACAAATGATTCTTTTCTATATTTTTTTTTTCAAAATAATTATCCTCGTTTTGTACAAGAATTAAGTAATTAAATATTTTTAAATTTAATAAAGTATGAATTCATTTGTTTCTATTATCTTAAATGGTTTCTGATTACACTTTGTAAGGAGGTCAAAAGATAATGGTAAAGTCAGAAAAAAAAACAGTTAATGTCATTTTTGATTTTCTAAAGTGATAAATAATGTGAAATAAATTAAACTTCTTAAGTCACAAGTATTTTAAAAAAGAAATAGTGTTAACTACATGCGATTTAGTGTGAAAGTTTCATATGACAAATGTATGAGAATTTAAGGTATGGAAGTCTCACAAGATTGTCGTGCTGGCACAAAATCTTGTGCGGTTGATGTGTGGGACTTGTCTATGGTCAATATGAAATTTTTTAACATTAATGAAGAACTTTTTAAAAAAATGCATTAAATTTTGTTTTGGTCAACTGGTTTACAATGGTCAAAAAGCCTAAAATAAATATTTTTATCGCTTTATTTGTATATGTATCTTATAGCACGTGTACAAGATATAATTTCCCATTTCATCTTACAAGATGCAAATAGAAATTGTGTCATATATAATGTTTGTAATTATTCACCAGCCAAGCGCTATCTATATGTTTACCATCAATTGTTTCCTACAGAATTTAACGTGATTATAATTATTATTTACCAAGTTTAACTTTTTAATGATGTATAATAAAATTACATTCACCGCCATCACATTTAAACTCGTTGCAGATAAACAAAAAATCATCAAAATAATGAACAATGAATAGAAACAAACAGAGCCAATATAAGATTCGTGGCTGGACTTATTAATTTCAATCTAGATAAGTTGTCCTTTGTATGGCAAATCTGATTTTGTCCTTCAACATTTCAGGAATTTTTTTTTTTTATATTATTATGGGAATCTTAGTTGAGTTGGATGAAACCATTTTAAAATTATTTTTAGAAAATAGAGCAAGTACGGCAGGTAGTCTTTGAAAGAAAAGATAATATATATTAAAGCCTTTTGTAAGTATTCCAGAATGAGAGGATAATATGTAGTGTTATAAGCAAAGGCAAATTTCAAATCAATGGATTTGTTTCTTTGGATTAGGTACAGTTTCTGGACGTGGGCCTCTTAATTTAGTCATAGCAACTCATTAGCATTGTTACTGCATGGATGAATCTGAAGAGCATGTCTATAAATGCCTATTCTTCTCACATTCAAAGTACAACAGATTCTTTCCCTTCAAACTCTCTTCAATAATAATTAAGATTCAAATCTTTCCTTCTATTGAGAAAAATGAAGTCAAGTTATGTTGAGCTTGGAGAGGCAAAGAGTTCTAAACAAAATGGCAGCATGAAGAGGGCAGTTTCTGTTCTTGATTTCATTCTGAGGCTAATTGCAATTACAGCCACCTTAGCAAGTGCAATTGCTATGGGAACAACAGATGAGACACTTCCCTTCTTCACTCAGTTCATTCGGTTCAGGGCCGAGTATGATGATCTTCCAACATTGAGGTATGTACTAGTGGATTTTGATTATGTTATTTTATTTCATGGCAGTACTTCCTTAACCTATACTTTTTTCAATGTAATAGATCTTTATTAGTTGTCAATAAAGTTGTCAAACATTTAATTAAATCTTTATAATAAAATGTTTGGTAGTCTGATAAATATAGTTACCAATCTATTTAGTTTTTGAAAACCTATTAAGAGTATAGATACCTAACATAAAAACATAAGAGTGTTTCATTCATTAGATAGATATAGAAAATTATATGCTAACCCCTTTGGTCATGAAAACAGGCTTTTTGTTGTTGCCAGTGCTGCTGCAAGCGGCTACCTGATTCTTTCTCTTCCTTTGTCCATCTTGCATATCATAAGGAGCAGCGCAGAAAGGACTAGAGTTGTATTGATAATCTTGGATACGGTAATTTGTTAATTATAATAAATATTACATACCATATCAATTGTACCATCACCACCTTTACACAATCTCATCCATAAAGGGCAAACCCTGGTGGATAAGACTCTCCGAATTATAAAGGTAGGGGTAAAAGTTGATTATATGTAGTCTTACTTTATATTTTTGCAAAGAGACTGTTTCTTGTATTTAAATTCGTGATATTCCAATCACAAGAAGCAACTTACCGCTATTCCAAGGCTCGCCCTCGACACAATCTTACCCATGTAAAAGTAAAATCATTATTGATAGATGTATGGTTAACTACGCAGGTAATGCTAACTTCATTGGCAGGTGGATCATCTGCAGCAGCGGCTATTGTTTATACGGCACACAAGGGGAATGCCAAGGCTAATTGGTTTGCCATCTGCCAGCAATACAACTCTTTCTGTGAGCGTATATCTGGATCCATGATTGGATCCTTCGTTGGAATTGCCCTGTTCATAATGCTAATTCTTTTGTCTGCTCTGATACTATCAAGACGTTAAACATATTTTTGTATCACTACTAGCTAGCATGATCAGGCATGCATGTGTGTTTGTAATTTAAGAAGAATGTATGTGTGAGATGTATCAAGTGCATTATGTTTATGTTCTCTGTTTGATATTCAATGTACGTATTGATTTTATCCACTAGTTCCTCCCTCAGCTTAATTTTCTCTTCCTTTCTTGCTCAGTTTTTTATTTTTATTTTTTTTATACTAGCTCTAATTATCTTTTTGACGTGAGTAGGTTTTTTCAAGTATCCTTAGAAGCTTCGGTTTTTTAAACCGGCTATGAGACTAATTTCGAACGCGGGACGAGTTCAGAATTAAGATTTTATACCCCACCCAAATTTTTTTTTCAATTTCTACGGAAACATATATGTTTCGGTGAAGTGGAAATATTACTTACCTAAATAATAAATAGCAAGTAAGAAGTGATGACATTAGTTTATAAAAAAAAAAAGAATTAATGGCGTTGACATTATCAAAGTAAACACTTACGTAACAGGAAAATTTTCTTATCTTCTGCTCATACATCGAAACATGTGTAATTTTTTTTTTATTGGGCCTCACTTGAAGTTAAGTGGACAGGAGAGAAGAAATTTTTTACTCTGACACGAGAATACAAATACCCTTTTTTTTAAACACAATGCAGTACACCCATTTTTCAAAATTAGCAAAAATGTATATCATTTCAATCCAGACCTTATTTTAGTATTTTTCTCTGAATCCTGAAAGTTTTGTAATTTGGGGAGAAATGTATGTACACTGGTGGTACTGAAAGTTCTCCCATCTTCAAAACCAGTTTCTTATGATCTTTACATTAGGATTTAATTTGGACCCACCGAGAATATAGAAGTTTTACATTACCCGTTAACCATATGATGGTACATTTTGAAAATTTGTTGAAATACTTGAATTATTGCTTACTTTATCTTGTAAAGCACACCTCCTCCCTTTAGAGGAGCCAAATCCAAATCCAATATATATATTGAAAATGAAAAATCCCAGTTGATACCTTGACGTGACACTTTTTTGTTACTGATAATGTAAATAATCGACCAATTTTAAACTCCGTACAATAATTTAGCAAGGAAAGTAACACTGAGGAGTTCAATCAATCTGCATGCAATATTATTATTCTCAAAGATTATTAATGAAAAATGATCCATATTTGAAGGAGTGGACAAAAAATAAATGGAAAAAAAAGATTTCAACTATTTTGATTACAATTGTCATTCTTAACTCTCTTTTTTCAAATTTTAAATTTATTTTTTTCAATTAATTATGCATTCTTTTTATAATCTAAAATAATTTTTAGTTTATATTTTTTTCATAAATTTTATAATTTTAAACATATTTCTCTTAAATATTTTTTTTATTTTATTTTTTATATTTAACTTAAATTTAAATATACTAAACAATGAAACCAATAATTGTACACAATACTTGCAAGACATGTAAATGTAATGGCATATAATCACCTGGTTTGCAGTTGCATTTGACTTGTAGATTTCAAGTTAGGTTTTGATTCAAATAAATAATGCATTAGAGCTTTGTTATCTGCTTCAACAAAGCTAGAGCCGAGACTCTTCCTCATATGATTATAACTCTTATAACTCAAATTATATTCTAAATATTCAACAAGATCAATTGCGCAATTATATTGTAGAATGTAATTAAATTCAATTTCTAACTCAAACTCATAAATATTATCAAGACTAATCAATTAAACGAATAAGAGATATAGAAGCTAAATATGTGGGTTAACTAATGTATGAAAGTCGTGTTTATTATATAATTTGTCAAAGTGTCATAGAGTGTTCTTCTGATTGTTTTTTATTTTTTTTTATTTTTATTTTTATATTTAGACAAAAAAATAAATGTCATCGCCAAGCCCATAACAACTTAGTCCTACGTTGTCAAGGTCCCGTTAGTTAATTTATACATACAAGTAATGTTGCAACACTTATATTCCAACATATGTGATATTTTTTTTTTTTTTTTATAAATCATATGTGATATCTTAGTTATAGCATTAAAAATGTGATAAAGTAAAAGACAATAATAATCTAGATAGCTAAATTGACATACTTTGAATAGTACAAATTAAGAAAATTTTATTGCTCTACTAACGTCTAATAATTTCTTAGTTTATTAGCAGGCTATAAGCTTATATGACATACCACACAATATTGTCAAGATTAATGAATTAAGTGCATAAGACGTCTAGGAGGTTAAATATAAGAGTTATTTAACAGGGGATTAATTTTCTCATTTTACATGAGAATATTTTCTCATGTTACACTCACAACACATGAGTGAGGTTCACAAAAAAGTGAGAAAACAAAAAATCAAGATGAGTCTCACCTTTTAATTGTGAGTATAAAATGAGAAAATTTTCTCATGTAAAATGAGAAAACTATTTCCCTATTTAATAATCAGAACAATATTTCTGCAGTTACTGCAGATAAGTTATCTGTATTTACTCAAAAAATAACGTCATTTTGGAATTGAAATATTAAAAAATTATAATTATAAAGACTATAATAACCTTGAAATAAATTAAAATTACAAAAACACCATGATTTTCGCCCCAAAACGACGTCGTATTGAGCTTACTCCAGATAACTTATCTGCAGTAACTGCAGAAAAAGTGAACCATTTAATAATATATGAAAGTTGTGTTTATTTTATAATTTGCTTCAAAGGTGTGAAAGTGTCTTTTGCGTTAGTTTCTTTTAACTTTTATATTTAGTCAAAAGTAACAATAGTCACCGCCAAAACTTTGAGTCTTTAGTGCTATGATGTCAATGACCCCGGGAATCAATATATACACACAAAAAATCGTTGCAACGCTCATATCACTCCTGAAATCGTGATGCTTTTATAATTATATAACATAATTGTCTCCACCAAAACCGTGACACTTTAACGCTTTAGTGTCATTGGTCTCGTGGATCAATTTACACACATAAGTAACGTTGTAACACTCATCTTCCACCGCTTATGAAATATATCAGTTATAATATTAAAAATATAATAAAATTTAAGTTAATGATAATTTACATAATTAAATTGGCCTACTCTAAATGGTACAAATTAAGAAAATTTTCTTACTCCATCAACACCTACTAATTCTTGGTTTATTAGTAGTCATTAATTTTAAATAACAAACCAAAAAACATATTAAAAATAATTCTCCAAATTTCCATGCAAAGAAAATCCTTCTAATTGAATATCTTAAGCCTTAAATAAGAGAAATTGAAGATGGATAGGATTATATATATATATATATATATATATATATATATATATATATATATATATGGGTTTAGTGCTTATCATTTTAAATGACATAAGTTATGTCATTTTAGGAGAGAGATAGACACATAAAAATAGAAATTATGGGAGAGAAAAAATGGATAATTTTTTTTAATTTAAAATTTAAATAATTTTTTTTCTGTGTCTGTCTCTCTTTTGAAAGGACAGAGTATTATGTCATTTAAAATGACAAACATTTTTTTCTATATATATATATATATATGGGTTAGGATCAGAACATAAGTATTTAAATCCGACATCTCTCGAGGATACACGTGGTTTATCTTAAAAAATAAAAAAACCAGTATTTAAGCAGTTGAGTTCAGCCTTTTCACAACACACTCATTTCTTAATAGCATCTTCATCAAATTCCTCTAAACAAACCTTCTCAGTTCATTCACCCTCTTCTCTCCTCTGCTTTTCCGCTACATATGCAGAAAAATCTGTAACCACCCCAAAACTTGCAACACAAAAGTGTTTCAATCTTTGACGGGTTCGTTCCCTTTATTTTTTCTTTTCACTTCAGTTCAGGCATCAAATGTTTGAGAGATTGACGGTGTTCTTTGTCAGAACATACAAACAGAAATTGATGTATTTTTTTTTTTTTTTTCCTGTTTTGTTCTTCACTCGCTTCTTTGATGAAACATGGATTTTGGTGTAGGATGGAATCAATGGAGAACGTTTTCGGAGCAAGAATGGAAGATCAGCAGCTTGACTTGCCACCTGGTTTTCAATTTCATCCAACAGATGAAGACCTCATAAATTGCTACCTCATGAAGAAGGTTGCTGACAGCAGCTTCTCTGATCTAGCAATTGCTGAAGTTGATATGAACAAGTGTGAACCATGGGATTTGCCTGGTGAGTTTTTTTTGGGGTTCATCATTTCCATTGGTTTTGATTCTCTCGTTGTCTAACTTTCATGCTGTTGTCTTCTCTTAAATAATAATAATTTTTCTTTCTTTCTGTTTTTAAGGGTTGTCTAAAATGGGTGAGACAGAATGGTACTTTTTCTGTGTGAGAGAGAGAGAAAGAAAATACCCAAATGGTCTAAGGACAAATTGGGCCACTGAAGGTGGTTACTGGAAGGAGGTCACAGGCGACTACAATGGGGTACTCAATGAAGCAGATTTGATTGGGATGAGGAAAACCTTGGTTTACTATAAGGGAAGAGCACCAAGAGGAGAAAAGACAAACTGGCTCATGCATGAATACAGATTGGATGGGATATATTCTCAATTTTATCCATCCAAATCTAGAAAGGTATATTGAGTCTATGTGATCTCTTTTTTTTTACTCTGATTCATTCAGTTTGAACATTTGTTAACTGATTAAATATATTTTTAGCCGCTTTAGTCCCTAGCAAATAAGAAGGTTATTAGTGATTTCTAAGAAATTCGAAGTGGATTTATTTTAATCTTTTTGAATTTTTTAAGAACTACGAATAATTTTTTTATTTGTGAGGAACTAAAGCAGGTATTGTTAAATTTGCTAAAGACAAAAAAAATATATTTACTCTTTGTTAAATAAGGTTGTTTTTCTGACATGGTGTTTGTTTGCCGTTTTTTACAGGGTGAATGGGTTATATGCAGAGTCTTTGAAAAGATTATTTGTGAAATGAATATGGATGATCCAGAGTTTGAGTTTGAGTTTGAGCAGTTCCAATTACCTTCATTGATGGATTCTTCTCCATACAACACTGCCGGTGAATTGTCTCATGTGACTCTTGTTGGCGGAACCCGTAGAAAGTCAACCGGGATTTGGCTTAGGATTTATTTTATTTTATTTCTCTTTTTTAATAGTTTGTGTTTGAGCTCATAAATATCTATCATTATTTAGTATATCTTAGCCTTTTTATATTTTCTATATAAAAATGTTTTGTAACCGAGTGTCTTGAAGAGAATATAGTAAAATATTATTTGACGTGGTGAACTAATGTAAATTTGTGTCTCCATTTTTTCCCTTTTCTACTTTACACTTTTGTATGTGATTGTTGGATCCCAACGTAATATAAGAAAAGACGTGTTGAGAAATATAGTCCCACATTGATTGTATGTGCAACTAATGTGGAGTTTATAAGGCCTTGGGCACTCCCACCCTTTGAGCTAGTTTTTTGGGTGGTGTATCCCAAGGTTTTTTTACATGGTATCAGAGCCTCGCCGTCCCCCACTTTCTCTTGTGGAGTTTCTTAGCACAGGTAGGCTGAGCCTGTTGCATTATCCACTCTTCAAGTCCGGTGGGCTTTCGTGTGAGGGGGCGTGTTGAGAAATATAGTCCCACATTGGTTGTATGTGCAACTAATGTGGAGTTTATAAGGTCTTGGGCACTCCCACCCTTTGAGCTAGTTTTTGGAGTGGTGTACCCCAAGGTTCTTTACAAAAAGTAACGGTGAGGAGTTCAATCATCTGCATACAATATTCTTATTCTCAAAGCTTATTCCCAACCAAGAAAAATTGTCCATATTGGAAGGAAGGGAAAAAAATAAATGAAAAAAAAAAAGATTTCAACTATTTTGATTACAACTGTCTTAGTCTTACTAACTCTTTTTATTTTATTTTAAACTTTATTTTTTAATTAATTATGCATATTGTTTTTTTAGTTTAAAAAAAAATTAGTTTATATTTTCTTCATATATTTTATAATTTCAAACATATTTCTCGTAAGTATTTTGTTAATTTTATATTAAATTAAATTTAAATTTAAATATACCTATACAATGAACCCAATAATTGTACACGATACTTGCAAGACAGGAATTTAAGGTAGGATACAAGAATATTAAAATATAATGACATACATAATTATAGTAATTTTTTTTTGGACTAAGTACTTAGTGCAACGATTGTACTAAACAAATTCTCGAACTCTACCTCATACCACATTGGGCTTTTTCACCCTTTTGTTCCTCATTAATTAATTAATAATTATTTTATCCATGATTCGAAATTATCTACCAATCTGCTCCTCTTTAATCGACTACCTTGCATTTTTAATCGATTAAATGGTCAAAACATGCAAAAATGACTGTTAGGAGATTTAATCGACTAAATCTCCCTATTTAATCGATTAAATCTCCCAACAGGCAACAAAGGGAAACAAGTTAGTATGATTTTTTAATCGATTAAGTAGGGAGATTTAGTCGATTAAATCTCCCAACAACTATTTAATCGATTAAAAATGCAAGTTAATCGATTAAACAGAGGTAGATTGGTGGATAGTTTTGAATCAGGGACAAAATAATTATTAATTAATTAATGAGGGACAAAATGGTCAAATAGCCCATACCACAGTCATCGATTAATGACTTGCTATCGTTGTCAACATCATCGAACTCACCTCGAGAAGCATATATATGTTTGACACTAGTTCATAGGGTTGGCAAAAACGAGCCAACCCGTCGGGTTGGCTCGCAACCCGTCCTAAATGAGTCGGGTTGGGTTGGCCTAAATGAGCTGTCAACCCGATACAACCCTAACCCAAACGAGCCAACCCTCGGGTTAAACGGGCCAGCTCGCGGGTTGGGTATTTTTTTTAAATTAAAAAAAATAAAACGTTTGGTTTGAGCTTTTTAACGCTGAAGACCAGAATCCTTTTCCAGCATCAGGGCGCTAAAACGTTTGAGCTTTAACGTTTTAACGCTGAAGACCTGCATATTTCTGGCTTTGACGTGCAGCAGCGCGCTAAAACGTTCTGGATGGACGTTTTAGCGCTCCAGATCAGCATCTTTTGGCTTCTTTCTGTAGCAGGGCGCTAAAACGTTCTGGATGAACGTTTTAGCGCTCAACACTTAGAATTTTTTTTCTTCTTCAGAATCTTCTTCCTTCTCCTAGAGCCAACCCGCGAGCTTTTTTCCGAGCCAACCCGCGAGCTGATTATCGAGCCAACCCGCGAGCCAACCCTAACCCGGCTCGGGTTGGGCTGGGTTGGGTTTTCTGGCTCGTTATTTTTTCGAGCCAACCCTAACCCGACCCGATTTTTACGGATTGAATGCGGGATGAGCCGGGTCGAGCCGGATTGGCCCGTTTTGCCAACCCCACTAGTTCATACTCGCCCCTCTTGTGCCCCTCTCACATCTCCGTGAACTTTGCAAGCTCGAGCAGAGTTCTCCAAACAATTGATCTGTTTGGGGATTTTAAGGTTGGTGGTTCCTTTTCTGATCATGCTACCAAACTTCTTCATATGGATATGGCTTTGTTTTCACATCTTGCATTGATGGCTTGTTTTCATTCCAACACAAAATCAATGAACTTAAAGCGTTACATTTTGGTTCAATAAATTAAATTCTTAATTACTTTGATAATATAAAAGTGTGTAATCAGCTAATTAAATAGTTACTTTTACCGTTTTAATCCTTTATTATGGTGAGATGACAATTGTTTTTGCTGGGTTATATGAAAGTAATTCTTTTGCTAATTAAATAGTTACCTTTACCTTTGTAATCTTATTTTGAATAATGGACTTTTCTTTACTTGGTTATGTGGTTTTACTCCTCGCAATGAAAAGGTTTTTTATATTAAAATCGTTGTATGCATCTCTTTATTTTTCTTCTTCATTTTTTTAAGGGAAAAAGAAGTATAATTTTAAAAGATATAAGCTTGTGTCCTTTTAGGTTATTTACACAAAGTATGACCGATCATACTTTGTCTAAATCTAAAAAATTATTTTTTTTCTCTTCCTAATCACATCACTGATGTGTAAATTAAAAAAAAAAACTTTTCAGATTTACACAAAGTATGACCTATGACCGATCAATGAATTAAGTGCATAAGAGGTCTACGAAAATAACTGTGAGCGTTAATTAATATATAAAAGTCATGTTTATCACAATTAATCTCAAATGTTAGTGAGTATTTTTCAAATCGACATATTTTGCCTTTTTATTTAGACAAAAATAATCGTCATCACCACAATCGGGATACTTTAGCGCTATGGTGTTAATGAACATGTGACTCTGAGTCAATTTAACCATACAAACAATGATGCAACTTCCTGTGCGCTCATCTTCCATTGCACATTTATTTTTAATTTGAGTAAATGCATTAAAATTGTAATAAAAGAAAAGACAATAATAATCTACATAACTAAATTGCCAAATTCTAAATCTTCCAAATTAAGATAAAAAATTCTCCACTAGCACCTTATAATAATTGGTTTAATAGTAGTAATCAATCTAATATAGCATATGCCAAAAAAAGTAATACTTCATAATTAAAAAAGATTTTCATTAACCCCCCCCTCTCTCTTTCAAATTGAACCTTTAAACTGTAAATTAATAAAAAATGGATAGATAGGTTCATTTTGATCTACTAGACTCCAATCTTGCTTTGGGGCTCTTCATTACATATATAAAATTCATTTTTACATATGACTAGAACTCAAGTTATATTCTAAATATTGAACAATATCGGTTGCCCAATTATACCGAACCATGACAAATATCCAATTATACTAAAGAATGCAATTAAGCCCAATTTTTAACTTAAACTCACAAATATTATCAAGATCAATCAATTAAATGAATAAGAGATGTAAGAGGCTAAATATGTGGACAAAAAAATTAAAATATTACACTTTTAATAATTAATTACGAATAAATAGTAGTTTGGAAACTATATTCGAATTTATTGCAGTCATTCACGCCCAAATTAGACGTGACTATTCACGCCTAATTTAGGCGTGACTCCCAAGGCATTCACGCCTAAATTAGGCGTGACTCGTCTGGTGTTGACACGTGGCACAAAAAATTAATAGTTTAACCGTAAAACTTTATAAGGCCAAAACTTTTGACTCGGGTATCCGAATGAGGTAATTCTTTTTTTGATTTCACGTAACTTTTCGAGATCTACGCAATGACATCTCATTTGATATATTTTATCTCTCACAAACACAATTCAAATTTACAACAATGATACTATAAAGATGACACCAAAGTGGATTAACTCATTTATAAATAAGATGGCACCAAATTTTCTATTAAATACAAAACACAATCAGCTCCTATTAAATACAAAATACAATCAACTCCTATAACATTAAATTCAAAATTCAAATAACCACCAGCAAATTTATTTGAATTGGCGACAATCACAATCTGTAACCAACTCATAAAATTACAATACAATCAATTCCTATTAAATACAAAAAGCAATCAACTTATTGGAGGTTATTTGAATTTTGAATTTAATGTTATAGTACCATTATTGGACGTGAATGAGTGCAATATATTCGTAATTAGGTTCCAAACGGCAACTTATTCATAATCATTTATTAAAATGACAATATATTCGTAATGTTATTTAATTATTTTCTTTATTAATACAAATTTTTCAAATTGATTTTTGAGTTTAAATCGCAAATTAAATCTTTATTTTGTTTTTCTTATTAATAATAATTTTTTAATTTTTTTTGGTGATACACTATATAATACAATTATTGCAAATTTGAATTGTGTTAGTGAGAGATAAAATATATCAAATGAGATGTCATCACGTGGATCTCGAAAAGTTATGTGGAATCAAAACAGTAATTACCTCATTTGGATACCCGAGTCAAAAGTTATGGCTTTTCAAAGTTTTACGCTTCGTAAGTTGACTTTTTTTTGCCACGTGTCAACACAAGATGATTCACGCCTAAATTAGACGTGAATGCCCAGGGAGTCACGCCTAACTTAGGCGTGAATAGTCACGCCTAATTTGGGCGTGAATGACTGCAATAAATTCGAATATAATTTTCAAACTGCTAGCTATTCGTAATTAATTATTAAAAGTGTAATATTTTAATTTTTTTTGCCTAAATATGTGGGTTAACTAATGTATGAAAGTCGTGTTTATCAAGTAATTTTCCTCAAAGTGTTATAGAGTGTTCTTTTGATTTTTTCTTTTAATTTTTATATGGAAAATATTACTCTCATGTTACATGAGAGTAATTTCCTTATGCTATAGAAAGAATTCAAGTGGGTCCCCCATTAAAAAATAAAAAAGAAAAGAAAAAATGAGGGGATGTGATTTTCAAAGTGAGAGAACATGAGATAAATATCTCATATAAAATGAGAGTATTATTTTTCTTTTTATATTTAGACAAAAATAATTGTCATCGCTAAGTCCATAACACTTAAGCCCTGTGTTGTCAATGGTCCTGTTGCAACACTTAAACTTTGACATATGTAATATCTTAGTTTTAACATTAAAAATGTGATAAAGTAAAAGACAATAATAGTCTAGATAGCTAAGTTGACATACTTAGTTTATTAATTGGCATTGATCTAATATGACATACCACACAAAATATTGTCAAGATCAATGAATTAAGTGCATAAAAGGTCTAAGAGGCTAAATATGAGAGTCATTTAATATAAGAAAGTTATGTTTATCATATAATTCGCTTCAAAGGTGTCAGAGCGTCTCGTTTCTTTTAACTTTTTTATTTAGTCAAAAGTAACCGAATTCACTGTCAAAACTTCAACACTTTAGTGCTATGGTGTCAATGATTGCGAGAATCAATATATACATACAAAAAATCGTTGCAACGCACATATATCATTGCTGAAATCGTGATGCTTTTATATATAGACAAAATAACCGTCTCCACCAAAGCCGTGAAATTTTAGCGCTTTAGTGTCATTGGTCTCGTGGATCAATTCACACACATAAGTAACATTGCAACCCTCATCTTTCACCATTTATATTAAAAATGTAATAAAATAAAAGTTATGTTTATCATATAATTTGCCTCAAAGTGTTATGAAGTGTTCTTTTGATTGTTTCTTTTAATTTTTATATTTAGAGAAAAATAATTGTTATTGCCAAGTCCATATCACTTTAGCCCTATGTTGTCAATGGTCTTGTTAGTTAATTTATACATATAAGCAAGGTTGCAACACTTATATTCCAACATATGTAATATCTTAGTTATATAATTAAAAATGTGATAAAGTAAAAGACAATAATAGTCTAGATAGCAAAATTGACATACTTTGAATAGCACAAATTAAGAAGACTTTATTGCTCTACTAGTTCCTAATAATTTCTTAGTTTATTAGTTGGCATTAATCTAATATAACATACCATACAAAATATTGTCAAGATCAATGAATTAAGTGCATAAGAGGTCTAGCAAGCTAAATATGAGAGTCATTTAATACATGAAAGTCATGTTTATGAAAAATTTGTCTCAAAGGTGCGAGAGTATCCTTGTCCTTGTTTCTTATAACTTTTATATTTAGTAAAAAATAACAGTAGTCACCGACAAAACTTTGACACTTTAGCGCTATGGTGTCAATGATTCTGGGAATCAATATACACATACAAAAAATCTTTGCAACGCTTAAATATCACTGCAAAAATCATGATGCTTTTGTATACAGACAAAAGAACTGTCTCCACCAAAACTGTGACACTTTAGCGCTTTAGTGTCATTAGTCTCGTGAATCAATTCACACACATAAGTAACGTTGCAACCCTCAACTTTCGCCGCTTATATTAAAAATGTAATAAAAAAAAGTTGTGTTTATCATATAATTTGCCTCAAAGTGTTATGGAGTGGTTTTTTGATTGTTTCTTTTAATTTTTATATTTAGGCAAAAATATTTATCATAGCCAAGTCCATAACACTTTATCCATATGTTGTCAATGGTCTTGTTAGTTAATTTATACATATAAGCAATGTTGCAACACTTATATTCCAACATATGTAATATCTTAGTTATATAATTAAAAATGTGATAAAGTAAAAGACAATAATAGTCTAGATAGCAAAATTGACATACTTTGAATAGCACAAATTAAGAAGACTTTATTGCTCTACTAGTTCCTAATAATTTCTTAGTTTATTAGTTGGCATTAATCTAATATAACATACCATACAAAATATTGTCAAGATCAATGAATTAAGTGCATAATAGGTCTAGCAAGCTAAATATGAGAGTCATTTAATACATGAAAGTCATGTTTATGAAAAATTTGTCTCAAAGGTGCGAGAGTATCCTTATCCTTGTTTCTTATAGCTTTTATATTTAGTAAAACAAAACTTTGACACTTTAGCGCTATGGTGTCAATGATTCTGGGAATCAATATACACATACAAAAAATCTTTGCAACGCTTAAATATCACTGCAAAAATTATGATGCTTTTGTATACAGACAAAAGAACCGTCTCCACCAAAACTGTGACACTTTAGCGCTTTAGTGTCATTAGTCTCGTGAATCAATTCACACACATAAGTAACGTTGCAACCCTCAACTTTCGCCGCTTATATTAAAAATGTAATAAAAAAAAGTTGTGTTTATCATATAATTTGCCTCAAAGTGTTATGGAGTGCTCTTTTGATTGTTTCTTTTAATTTTTATATTTAGGCAAAAGTATTTATCATAGCCAAGTCCATAACACTTTATCCATATGTTGTCAATGTTGCAACACTTATATTCCAACATATGCAATATCTTAGTTATAGAATTAAAAATGTGATAAAGTAAAAGACAATAATAGTCTAGATAGCAAAATTGATATACTTTGAATAGCGTAAAATAAGAAGACTTTATTGCTCTACTAGCTCCTAATAATTTCTTAGTTTATTAATATGACATACATCACAAAATATTGTCAAGATCAATGAATTAAGCGCATAAGAGGTCTAGGAAGCTAAACATGAGAGTCATGTTTATCATATAATTTGTCTCAAAGGTGCGAGAACGTCCTTGTGCTCGTTTCTTTTAACTTCTATATTTAGTCAAAAGTAACCGCATTCACCGCCAAAACTTCGACACTTTAGTGCTATGGTGTCAATGACCCCGAGAATCAATATATACATACAAAAAATTGTTGCAACGCTCATATACCACTGCTGAAATCGTGATGCTTTAATATATAGACAAAATAACCATCTCCACCAAAGCCGTGACACTTTAACGCTTTAGTGTCATTGGTCTCGTGGATCAATTCACACACATAAGTAATGTTTCAACCATCATCTTTCACCGCTTATGAAAGTTATAGCATTAAAAAATATAATAACGTAAAAGTTAATAATAATCTACATAATCAAATTGGCATACTCTAAATGGTACAAATTAAGAAAATTTTCTTACTCCATCAACACCCAGTAATTCTTGGTTTATTAGTAGTCATTAATTTTATATAACAAGCCAAAAGAAAAATAATTATCCATATTTGCATCCAAAGAAAATATTTCAAATTGAATCTCTTAGGTCTGAAATAATAGAAATTGAAGAAAGATAGGACTACTTTAGAAAAAAAAAAAAAATTAACGAATTGAGGGGATGGTATATAACTAGTTAGTGCAACACTGTCATGTAACATGCTCGAAGTTAAATGATTGTGGTTTAATTTTTTTATGACATCAAATAAGAGTACATTATTATTATTAATTATTTCATAATTCTGACATACACAACCATGCACATATGCAACACACCGCAAAAAACATGAAACATTGAAACCTAGACAGTTGCCTTTTGAGCCATGATTCTGTGTGCCTAAAAACCAGTATTTAAGGAGTTCAGCCTTTTCACAACACACTCACTTCTTAACAGCATCTTCATCAAATTCCTCTAAACACTACAAAACCCAAAATCTTTACTTTCTCCTAGCAACACTTAAGTGTTTCAATCTTTGACGGGTTCGTTCCCTTTCTTTTTTCTTTTCATTTCAATTCAGGCATCAAATGTTTGAATTGACGGTGTTCTTTGTCTGAACATACAAACTGAAATTGATTTGTTTTTATTTCCTGTTTTGTTCTTCACTTGCTTCTTTGATGAAACATGGATTTTGGTGTAGGATGGAATCAATGGAGAACGTTTTCGGACCAAGAATGGAAGATCAGCAGCTTGACTTGCCACCTGGTTTTCAATTTCATCCAACAGATGAAGACCTCATAAATTGCTACCTCATGAAGAAGGTTGCTGACAGCAGCTTCTCTGCTCTAGCAATTGCTGAAGTTGATATGAACAAGTTTGAACCATGGGATTTGCCTGGTGAGTTTTTTTGGGTTCATCATTTCCATTGGTTTTGATTCTCTTATTGTCTAACTTTCATATTGTTGTCTTCTCTTAAATAATTTTTTTTTTTTTTTTTTTTTCTGTTTTTAAGGGTTGGCTAAAATAGGTGAAACAGAATGGTACTTTTTCTGTGTAAGAGACCGAAATAGGGCCACTGAAGCTGGTTACTGGAAGGCCACAGGCAAAGACAAGGAGATAATCTCCGAAGAAGAACTGATTGGGATGAGGAAAACCTTGGTTTTCTATGAGGGAAGAGCTCCAAGAGGCGAAAAGACAAACTGGATCATGCATGAATACAGATTGAATGGGATATCTTCTGAATATTATGTAACCAAATCTGGACAGGTATGTTGAGATTATGTGATCCGTTTTTTGTTTTCTCTGTTTTTTGTTTTTTTTTTTACTCTGACTCAATATGAACATTTGTTAAATATGATTGTTTTTTTGACATGGTGTTTACCTTTTTTTACAGGGGGAATGGGTTATCTGCAAGGTCTTTGAGAAAACTCCTACTGGAAAGAATGCATGTTCCTAAGTTTGTGTGGTTCCAAATGCCTTCATTGATGGATTCTTCTCTATACAACAGTACTGGTGAATTGTCTGATGTGATTCAAGTTGACCGGAGAGAAGGCCAACAGGGATATGATATTGTGAACTTTGGTTTTATTTTATTTTGTTTAAGCTTCGGCTTATAAATAACTACTGTTGCTTTGAATTTCTTTTCCTTTATAAATAAAGTGTTTCGTAACGAGTTTAGTAAAAAAAATATAGTGAAACATTGTTGGACGCGGCTCACAGAACCAATATAAATTTGTGCCTTCGTTCTTTTTCATCATCTCTCTTTTCTATTTTACTCTTCCGTGTGTTATCGTTCGATTTCAACCTAATTTAGCAATAAAAGTAACAGTGAGGAGTTCAATCAATCTGCATGCAATGTTGTTATTCTCGAAACTTATTACCAAATACCAATAATGAAAAAATTATCCATATTTGAAGGAGGGACAAAATATAAATGGAAAAAAAAAAAGATTTCAACTGTTTTGATTACAACTGTCATACTAACTCTTTATTTTAACTTTAAATTTAAATTTCTTTAATTAATTATGCATTATTTTTTTATTTTAAGCAATTTTTAGTTTATATTTTCTTCATATATTTTATAATTCTTAAATATTTTGTTAATTTAATTTTTTATATTTAACTTAAATTTAAATATACCTATACAAAGAACCCAATAATTGTACATAATACCTGCAAGACAGGCAAAAATTCCGTACTAGTGTTAATTTGTAAAAGTATCTCCACGCTGAAACACATCCGTAAAGATTGACGAGAGTAGAGCAGTCAAACACGTAGGGTTGACTGATGTGACCAGTCCCGCCACATACATCGACGTGATCAGCAGCCACATAGGATCCAATTCACGTGTCTGCATGAATCCCGCCATTTGGTCTGACTCATTTGAGTCCCGCCATATCAATTGGCGAGACTATTGCAATAAATCAATACCCATTGAAAAGAAGGGCGATCATGATATATTTATCAATTCCAACTCTCACCCACTTTTTTCAAGTCTGTCTTCAAACAAATTAAAAAAAAAGAAAAAAGAAAAAGAGTAATCCATGCAACAACTCTGAAAAACAATTTAACACGCCAGAGACCAAACCAAACCAAACAAAATTATAAAAAAAATTGGTACTTACCCAAAGGTGGCTTTCTGTTATTGGACGAGGATCGCCAATGACCCTCACCTTGTTTTTTTCTCCAATTAGCCATGCCCCAGATGAAAAAGGGTAAGACCCAGAAGAAGAAATTTGAAAACTTTGCTTGCAAGCAGTGCAGAGCCACAAAAGAAGAAATTTTTTTCCAAACTTTGGCGGATTCCAGGAATTCCCTCAACAGAAAGAGAGAGAGAGAGAGAGAGAGAGAGAGAGAGACAGACAGGTGTATATTATTGTACAGGGACACAAAGATACAAACAAAAAAACGATGGTGTGAAAAAGTAAGAAGAAGAAGAGAATGAAATTAAGGAGTTTAAAGAAGTAGCATGATGATGATGATGTCCTCAGTATTACTATTGCATAGTCTCGCCAATTGATATGGCGGGACTCAAATGAGTCAGACCAAATGGCGGGATTCATGCAGACACGTGAGTTGGATCCTACGTGGCTGCTGATCACGTCGATGTATGTGGCGGGACTGGTCACGTCAGTCAACCCTACGTGTTTGACTGCTCTACTCTCGTCAATCTTTACGGATGTGTTTCAGCGTGGAGATACTTTTGCAAATTAACACTAGTACGGAATTTTTGCCCAGTAATTTAAGGTAAAGTAAAGAATGTAAATGTAATGGCATATAACCACCTGGTTGCAGCTGCATTTGTCTTGTAGATTTCAACTTAGATTTTGATTCAAACAATAATGCATTAGAGCTTAGTTATATGCTTCTACAAAGCTAGAGCCGGGACTCTTCCTCATATCACAGTAATCCATTAACTTGCTATCGTTGTCAGCATAATCCTACTCACCTTGTGAAGCATATATATATTTGGCACTAGTTCATACTCACCACTCTGGCTCCTTTTCCCATCTCCATGAACTTTGCAAGCTCCAAGCGGAGTCCTCCAAACAATTGATCTTCTTCGAGGCTATGAAGTCAAAGCTTGAGAAATATATGACTTAGTAAGAGGATTGGTTCATACTCCATATTACTTGGAAACATTGCAGGCCCAAACGTCTTAGCAGCCACAGAGATAAAAGCTATCTCCACTCAATCCCAAGAAACCAATAGAGCCACTAAAAATGATTAGTTGCTCGACTAATATCACTCTTGATAAGTTGACCCTTCTATGAATATGCCAAAGCTAGTTTTGCCCGGCAATTTTGATAGTCGTATACCATTTTCAAACCCCGGGAACATGTAAAAAATGGTGTTTTACGAAAATGATATTTTGATAATTGCTTAATATTCCCGTTATCAACTATATGCTTCAACAAAGCTAGAGCCAGGATTTTTCGTCACGCCACTATCATCCATTAACTTGCGTACCTTCTCAGCCCCATTCCACTCACCTCGTGAGGCATATATGTTTGACAACAGTACATAGTCACCACTCTGGTCTCTTCTCATTCTAAGCAGATGTTCATTTGCCTGTTTTGCAAACTCAACGTCTCCATGAACTTTGCATGCTCCAAGCAGAGTCCTCCAAACAATTGCATTAGGTTCAATCTTCATCGAGGCTATGAAGTCAAATGCTTCCTTTAGAAGTCCAGCACGCCCTAGCATGTCTACCATACACCCGCAATGCCTAATGTTTGGCTCAATCTTATACTTACTTCTCATGAGATCAAAATATTGATAACCCTCATCAACTTTCCCAGCATGACTGCAAGCTGCCAAAACACCAACAAAGGTGATCCCATTTGGACAAACCTTGGTCCTCTCCATCTCCCTAAACAGACCAAGTGATTCCTCAGCATGGCCATGAAAAGCCAACCCACCAATGACCGAGTTCCATGAGGCTACATCTTTATCTCTTATTAACCAAAACACATGAAGCGCTTTTGCTATGCTTCCACACTTGGAATACATATTCACAAGAGCATTCCCCAATAATGTGCTCAACTCTCCCGGTCTCATCTCCAAGATCATGGCATGTATCTTTTGACCATTTTCCAAATCTCCCAAATCAGCACAAGCAGACAACAAGTTCAACAATGTGACCTCATCTGGGCAATCCCCAACCCTGCTCATCTCATCAAACAACTCCAAAGCCTGCTGATTCGAGCCGCTAAGCACATAACCCGTGATCATGGCATTCCAAGTAATCACATCCCTCTTGGGTGCCTCATCAAAAAGCATCCTAGCACTCTCCATCTCCCCTTGCTTCGCATACCCGGTGATCATCACATTCCACGACACCAAATCTTTCACACGCATTTCATCGAACAGTTGGCGCGCAACACTCAAATCCCCTCGTCTCGCATACCCAGCAATGAGTGCAGACCAAGCAACCACATTACCCTTATCCGAATCATCAAAGAGCGCGGTTGCAATCTTTAAATCTCCACAGTTAGCGTGAAAGAACAAAAGGGTGTTCCTCACAAACGTGTTTGAACCGAACCCCAAACTAACAACCCGGCCATGAACCGCCGAACCGGTCTTGAACCAGAAAAGCTTGGTGCAAGCCTTGAGGACGAAGGGGAAAGTGAAGTTATCAGGCTTCACGAAACGCTGGTCCATCTGGGCATAGAGTGCGACCGCTTGCACTGGATTGGGGCTCTGAGAGCATCCTCTGATCATGGTGTTCCACATGAAGGTGTCTGGTTCAGAAATTTGAGCGAACACTTGGTGTGCGTATTCTGTGATTGTAGTACTAGTGGGGCCCATGATTGACATGGCGGCGGTGAAGACAAGTTCAGTGAGTAAACCAACGTTGGAAGTGAAACCGTTCACGATCATTGAAGCGTGAATCTGTTTGAGGGTTTTAAGGTTGGTGGCTCTTCTTTTTCTGATCATGCTACCAAAGCTTTGTTTTCACATCTTACATTGAGATAGTGTTTGGTATGCATTATTCTTCAAGATTTTCGAGAAACTGAAATTTTTTAAATTTTTAATTTTCAAATATTATCGTAATTTGAATATAAAAATTATATTTTTAAAAATCGAGATTCTCAAATAATTTTTTTTTTCGTCTAACAAATGCTCCCTCATGACTTGTTTTCATTTCAACACAAAATTAATGATCCTAAGCGTTACCTTTTTAGTTCAATAAATTGAATTCTTAATTACTTTGATTATGAAAAATTGTGTAATCAGGCTAATTAAATAGTTTCTCTTTCCATTTTAACCCATTATTTATTAATGTGAGTTGACAATTGTTTATGCTGGGTTACATGAAAGTTATGCTTTTGCTAAATGTCAAGCGACCAACATGGGAGAGACTGGAATTCAGGGGTCGTGGTAAAGGGTCACAGCTAAGTGGGTAGGAAATTAGCATTAGCCAATTGGTATCAGAACAACTTTTCAAAATAATCTTAAAAAGTTGAAAGCAATGGGAGGTTGTTATTTTCATGGGATTGTGTAGAGACAGAAAAATGCCACCTAAATGTTTTAGTATGATTTATAGTTTTCTGTACAAGAAAAAAAAAACAAAGAACCTTCTTGATTAAGTTCGATAATGAATTGCATTAAATATTGTTAGCATGTGAATTTAAGATTGTGAAAGTATTGTTACTCTTATTCAAATATTACTTTTTCCTTTTCTTTTGCTCCTAAGAGGGCTAGACCTTACAATTTGGAAGAGATGAGAGTTTTTGAGTTGCATTCTCAGTTTTGGTGGAAACATTGATAATTTACTTTTAGTGTTTAATGTTTGTGTTTTCAAAGGATATAGAATCATGTCATTTTAAATGACAAAAAAATACAATCAATAAAAATTATGGGAGAAAAAATGAGTATTTTTTTAAAAAAATTTAAAATTTAAATAAAAATATATTAGTTTATATTTTTCTCTCACTTAAAATTATACAACTATATATACAAATATTTTTCTCATACTTTTATAGACACAATAAGATTCGCTTTTAAAGTTATATAACACAATAAATTAATATTGACAATGATGCGAGATGAATGTTAAAATATAATTTAAGATGTAGTTTAACTTGTCAAACAAAGAATACTACAAAAACTTGTGAAACTTGTAAGGAAATTTTTTGATGGACCGTAAATCATTAAAATTTCAACACAAATGGCATTGAAAAATATAATGAATAACAAAAATGGAGAATGCTATATTTACAAACAAAGAATTATGTCTCTTTTTAAGAAGATAAGGAGTAAATTAGTTGAGATGCACGCAAGTTAATCCAAATATTGTCCAACCATTATAGTCTAAAAAAATTAGTAGCCTGTAATTTATGTTGCATCGATATTGATATAGAATACGGGACACGACACGCCAACACGTTAATTATAAAAAATACCATATTTTGACATGTTAGGACACGTTTTGATATTAAATAATATTTTTAATATATAATATAATTTATATATAATATATATAACAGCCCATAATAAGTTATATAACCAATCAAATATTCAAATTCCATAACGTAAATATAAAGCAAAAATAATTTTTCATGTCAAATTGCATAACAGAAAAAAAAATGATTTACAAATTATTTTTTCATATTTAGTTAATAAAATAAAATAAAATTTAGACCTAAAAAAAAAACGTGTCTGATGCGTGTTGGAGCATTGATTGCTTGTCGAAAAAAGTTGACCACATGTCAGAGTATTGACTGCGTGTCCCAAAATATTGACCATGTGTCGGACGCGCGTCGATGTCTGACACACAATTTTTTTTAAAGTGCATGTCGATGCTTTTTAGCCTGTAATTTCTTGGTTTATTAATAGGCAATTTCTTGGTTTATTAATAGGCAATAATCTAATGTAGAAACAAAAAAAAATGTGAAAAATAAGAGAAAGGGTCCGTTTACAAACTTTTTTTACAAATTACACTATCTTCTCCCGAGAGAAGATAGTGTAACTAGTGTTCTCACGGGAGACGACAGTGTAGTTTGTAAACAAAAAAGTTTGTAAATATAACCTGCCCCGAAAAATAATTATCCATATTAAAAAAAAAATCATCCACAAAAAATTATTCAAATTGATCTTTCATGTGTAACTTAATTGAAATTGAAGATAAATAGGCCCATTTTGATCAACAAGAATTCAATCTAGCTTTACATTGAAGAATGTGACTAAGCCCAATTTTTAATTCATGCTCACAAAATATTGTCAAGATCAATGAATTAAGTGCATAAGAGGTCTTTCTGAGAGATTGAGAGATCTGCTGCCCAGAATGGTATCCCCTAATCAGTGCATCTTCATTAAGGGGAGACAAGGTACTGATAATATAATCATTGCCCAAGAAGTAATCCACTCAATGAGGCTCAGGAAGGGCAGGAGAGGCTGGATGATGATTAAGGTGGACTTAGAAAAAGCTTATGATCGTCTGGATTGGAGTTTTGTGCTAGAGACTTTGAAGGTTCTTGGTCTGCCTGACTCTCTGGTGCATCTAATCTATTGCTGCATATCTACAACTTCTATGAGTCTTTTGTGGAATGGAGTGATTACTAAGAATATTCTTCCTGGCAGAGGCATTAGGCAAGGGGGCCCTATTTCCCCTTACCTATTTGTTCTTTGCATGGAAAAACTTGCTCAACTTATCTAGATGGTCGTAGGTACTGAAGCCTGGAAACCGATTGTTATAAGAAGGAATGCTCCCCCCATTTCTCACCTATTCTTTGCCGATGACATCATCCTCTGTGCTGAAGCTAGCTTGGAGCAGGCCCATGTAATTAATCAGGTTTTAAGAGTGTTTGCAGATGCTTCTAGTCAGAAAGTAAGTAAGGAGAAGACTAGAGTCTTTTTTTCCAGAAATGTTTGCTTTGAGAGGGCCAAAGAGATAAGTGAGTCCCTTGGTATAGGGATCACCTCAGACCTGGGGAAGTATCTTGGTGTGCCTCTTCACCACAAGAGGGTCACAAAGAATACATTCAGTTATGTTTTGGATAGAGTTCAGAAAAGGTTGTCTAGTTGGAATCAGAATTCTCTTACTTTGGCTGGTCGTACTATCCTGGCTAAGTCAGTGCTTGAAGCCTTGCCTGCTTATTCCATGCAAGCTGCTGTAATGCCAGTGGGTGTTTGTAATGAAGTAGAGAAGATGACTAGAAGTTTCATTTGGGGGTCATCACAAGTTCATAGGAGAACCCACTTGGTTAGTTGGAAAAGAGTTTGCAGACCGAAAAGAGAGGGTGGACTGGGGCTCAGAGATCAAAAACTAGTGAACAATGCTTTCTCCATGAAGCTTGGGTTCAATCTGTTAGCTAACAAGGACAGCATGTGGGTGAAAGTCCTTCGCAGTAAGTACAAGGTAGATGAGGCCCTTATGCCTGAAATGAAAAAAGTCAGAATAAGTTCTAATACTTGGAGAGGAATCCAAAATGTCTGGGATCAAGTCTTAGAGGGATCCAGGGTTGGCATTGGAGATGGCACTACAACCTCTTTTTGGCTTGACAAATGGGTACCTAATGTTGGTAGGCTAATTGATCATGCTTTATCAAATATTCCTGAAGAGTGTGAGCATTGGAAGGTGATAGATTATGTCCATAGGGGTGCTTGGGACTAGGGTAAAATTAATACATTGCTGGGCAGGGAAATTCTGGATTCTATTGGTAGGTTATCCCCTCCAAATACCTGTTTTGGTCAAGATAGGATACTCTGGACCTTGTCAAATTCAGGTTCTTTTACTGTTAGTTCTGCTTATAATGCTTTGTCAAATTCTTGCATGATTTCTGATAATATGAATTGGGACTATATATGGAAATGGGAGGGGCCACAAAGGATTAAATTTTTCCTTTGGCTCCTTTCCAGTTGTAAACTCTTAACTAATGCAGAAAGAACTCGAAGGCATATGTCAACTATTGATTTATGTCCCAGATGCAGCATGGCTGTGGAAGATACTGATCATGTTTTCAGAAAGTGCCCCTGGAGTCAACAGGTCTGGAAATTCTGGGTGGAAAGTAAAGAGTTAGCATCTTTCCTTAGTCAAGACATGGATTCCTGGGTGAAGAACAATCTTGGCAGGACTAACCGAAACATGAATTGGAGGATGAGGTTTGGTGTGGTATGCTGGTTTGTTTGGAAAGATAGGAATAATCTGGTTTTCAATGGAAAATGCTCATCCCCTCATGAGATATTCTCACAGGCCTCTCTCTTTGTTTCTAATATCCATGTGGCTAATGAGTTGCTATCTGATGCTGGTTTGGCTTTGGATAGGATGGAGGAGATTAAGATTAGTTGGAGTCATCCCCCTCCTGGATGGAAAAAGATTAACACTGACGGGTCCTACTCCAGTCTTTCATCTAAATCTTCCTGTGGTGGAGTGGCTCGGGATGAGGAAGGTAATTGGATCATAGGGTTCTCTAAGAGGTTAAATCCAGAATCAATATTAATGGCTGAGCTTTGGGGCTTCATAGTTGGGCTGGAATGGGCTTGGGAGCAAGGTTTCAAACAGATTATGCTAGAAGGAGATTCTATGATGGCTATCCAACTGGTGAAAGAGGGTTGTGTGTCCTCTCACCCTTGTTTCTTGACTGTTTCCAGAATTAGGAGGTTACTAGAGAGGAACTGGAAGGTAGAAATCTGCCATGTATATAGAGAGGGCAATCAAGTGGCCGATTGGATGGCTGCAGTGGAAATCTAACTGATTGGAGTATACACTGGTTTGATAGGATCCCTGCTGGATGTGAGGAGCTTGTCTTAGAAGATAGTAGGGGCACCTGGGTGCCTAGATACGTTTCTGTCTAGTTTTTTTTATTCATTCCTCTGTATCCAAAAAAAAAAAAGTGCATAAGAGGTCTAAGAAAATAACTGTGAGCGTTAATTAATATAAAAAAGTAATGTTTATCACAATTAATCTCAAATGTTAGTGAGTATCTTTCAAATCGTCATATTTTGCCTTTTTATTTAGACAAAAATAATTGTCATCACCACAATCGGGATACTTTAGCTCTATGGTGTTAATGAACATGTGACTCTGTGAGTCAATTTACCCATACAAACAATGATGCAACTTCCTGCGCTCATCTTCCATTGCATATTTATTTTTATTTCAGTAAATGCATTAAAAATGTAATAAAAGAAAAAGAAAGGATTTGATTTTTCTACCGTCAATGTAGATAACTTATTTACATTGAGCCCAAAACAACGTCATTTTGAGACAAAAATAAAAGTATTTTTGTAATTATAATTTATTTCAGGGATATAATAGTCTTTTTTATTATAATTTTTTAATTTTTCAACCCAAAACGATGTCATTTTGAAAGCGAATAATAATCTACATAACTAAATTGCCAAATTCTAAATCTTCCAAATTAAGATAAAAAAATCTCCACTAGCACCTTATAATTATTGGTTTAAGGGCATGTTTGGTGCACAGTATAGTATAAGACCTGATAGTATAAGACCTGATAGTATAAGACCTGATTATATAAGACCTGATTAAATTTTAATACTATCCAGCGTTTGGTATGATATTGTATAAGATAATATCCTCCAATATTTTAAAAATTAATATATTAAAAAATTTATTTTTAATATATAAATATTGAAATGATATATTAGTTCTTGGGAATTGTACTTGTAAGCAATATTAATACATCAACCCCTTATCAGGCCTAATCCACCACTCCTAGGCCGGATTAAGTTATACATCATTTTGATGTATAAAGGGGTCCTGCTGTATAAACTTATATTATACGATGGTCACACCAAACAACTGAAAATGTCATAACGTATAGTATAAGCTTATACTATCAGGCCTTATACATCATACCAAACAGGCACTAATAGTAGTAATCAATCTAATATAGCATATGCCAAAATAAATAAATATGCAATGTAGTACTTCGTAATTAAAAAAGATTTTCATTAACCCCTCTCCTCTTCTCTCTCTCTCTTTCAAATTGAACCTTTAAATTGTAAATTAATAAAAAAATGGATAGATAGGTCCATTTTGATCCACTGGAGTCCAATCTTGCTTTGGGGCTCTTCATTACATATATAAAATTCATTTTTACATATGACTAGAACTCAAGTTATATTCTAAATATTGAACAATATCGGTTGCCCAATTATACCGAACAATGACAAATATCCATTTATACTAAAGAATGCAATTAAGCCCAATTTTTAACTTAAACTCACAAATATTATCAAGATCAATCAATTAAATGAATAAGAGATGTAAGAGGCTAAATATGTGGGTTAACTAAACTAATGTATGAAAGTCGTCACGTAATTTGCCTCAAAGTATTATAGAGTGTTCTTTTGATTGTTTCTTTTAATTTTTATATTTAGACAAAAATAATTGGTCCATAACACTTAAGCCCTAGGTTATAAATGGTCCTGTTGCAACAATTAAACTTTGACATATGTAATATCTTAGTTTTAACATTAAAAATGTGATAAAGTAAAAGACAATAATAGTCTAGATAGCTAAATTGACATACTTAGTTTATTAACAGGCATTGATCTAATATGAAATACCACACAAAATATTGTCAAGATCAATGAATTAAGTGCATAAGAAGTCTAGCTGTCTAGGAGGCTAAATATAAGAGTCATTTAATATATGAAAATTATGTTTATCATATAATTCGCTTCAAAGGTGTCATAGCGTTCTTGTACTCATTTATTTTTTTAACTTTTTTATTTAGTCAAGAGTAACTGTACTCACCGCTAAAACTTCAACACTTTAGTGCTATGGTGTCAATGACCGCGGGAATCAATATATACATACAAAAAATCGTTGCAACGCTCATATACCATCGCTGAAATCGTGATGCTTTTATATATAAACAAAATAACCGTCTCCGCCAAAGCCGTGACACTTTAGCGCTTTAGTGTCATTGGTCTCGTGGATCAATTCACACACATAAGTAACGTTGCAACTCTCATCTTTCACCGCTTACGAAAGTTATAGCATTAAAAATATAAAAAAGTAAAAGTTAATAATAATCTATATAATTAAATTGGCATACTCTAAGTGGTACAAATTAAGAAAATTTTCTTACTCCATCAACATCCAGTAATTCTTGGTTTATTAGTAGTCATTAATTTTATATAACAAGCCAAATTCAAAAATAATTCTCCATATTTGCATCCAAAGAAATTACTTCAAATTGAATCTCTTAGGTCTAAAATAATTGAAATTAAAGAAAGATAGGACTACTTTAGAAGAAAAAAATATTAATGAATTGAGGGGATGTATGTAACTACTTAGTGCAACATTGTCATGTAACATGCTCGAAGTTAAATAATCGTGGTTTAATTTTTTATTATATCAAAAAAGAGTACAGTATTATTATTGTTAATTTATTTCATAATTTTGACATACACAACCATGCACATATGCAACACACAACAAAAAAACATGATACATTGAAACCTAGTCAGTTACCTTTTGTGCCACGATTCTGTGTACCTAAAAACCAGTATTTAAGGAGTTCAACCTTTTCACAACACACTCATTTCTTAACAGCATCTTCATCAAATTCCTCTAAACAAACCTTCTCAGTTCATTCATCCTCTTCCCTCCTCTGCTTTTCCGCTACATATGCACAAAAATCTGTAACCACCCCAAAACCCAAAATCTTTACTTTCTCCTAACAACACTAAAGTGTTTCAATCTTTGGCGGGTTTGTTCCCTTTCTTGTTTTTTCTTTTCGCTTCAATTCAGGCATCAAATGTTTGAGAATTGACGGTGTTCTTTGTCTGAACATACAAACTGAAATTAATGTGTTTTTTATTTCCTGTTCTGTTCTTCACTTGCTTCTTTGATGAGACATGGATTTTGGTGTAGGATGGAATCAATGGAGAACGTTTTCAGACCAAGAAAGGAAGATCAACAGCTTGACTTGCCACCTGGTTTTCGATTTCATCCAACAGATGAAGAACTCATAAAGTGCTACCTCATCAAGAAGGTTGCTGACAACAGCTTCTGTGCTGTACCAATTGCTGAAGTTGATATGAACAAGTGTGAACCACAGGATTTACCTGGTGGGTTTTTTTTGGGGTTCATCATTTCCATTGGTTTTGATTCTCTTGTTGTCTAACTTTCATGTTGTTTTCTTCTCTTAAATAATATTTTTTTTTTTTTCTTTCTGTTTTAAAGGGTTGGCTAAAATGGGTGAAACAGAATGGTACTTTTTCTGTGTGAGAGACAGAAAATACCCAACTGGTCTAAGAACAAATAGGGCCACTGAAGGTGGTTACTGGAAGGCCACAGGCAAAGACAAGGAAATAGTCATTGAAGAAGAACTGATTGGGATGAGGAAAACCTTGGTTTTCTATAAGGGAAGAGCTCCAAGAGGTGAAAAGTCAAACTGGGTCATGCATGAATACAGATTGGATGGGATATATTCTCAATTTTATCTAACCAAATCTGGAAAGGTATATTGAGTTTTTGTGTTCTGTTTTTTTTTTCTTTTTTACTCTGACTCAATGTGAAACATTTGTTAAATAAGGTTTTTGTTTTTTTTGTTTTTTTTTTGACATGTTGTTTGTTTGTTTACCCTTTTTTACAGGGTGAATGGGCTATATGCAGAGTCTTTGAGAAGACTCCTAGTGGAAAGAAAATGCATGTTCCTCCAAATTTTGAGAGGTTCCAATTGCCTTCATTGATGGATTCTTCACCATACGACACTACTACTGGTGAATTGTCTCAGGTGACCTGCTTCTCCAATCCAAATCAAACTGTGGATCAGAACACACAAGATGAAATTGTTAGCATGGAAACTCCTATCTTGAACTTTTCATCTTCTTCAAGACCCTTTGATGTTTCCCCTTTTGCCAACCAACTCACACAGATTGCACAACCAATTGGAAATTCACAGTACCCGGGTTATTTTCTGCCTCAGGAACAGTCCATGCTGAGAATGCTGATGGAAAACAATGCATCAGTTGCTAATCAAAACCAGTTTTCTCAGGGAAGAGGCTTTGATGCTGATGATGTCTCCTCTTTGATATACAACAATGAGATGTTTCACAGGTTCTATGGGAATCAAGAACATTCATCCTCTTCTGCAGGGCCTGAGAACAATGATTCCCCATGGAATTACTGAACAAGGATTAAAGATATTATTTAGGTTATGACAAAGAAGATTATGTCAATTATATGATATATATAAAAATTAATTAGCTGCGAGTCTGAGACTGTATAAACTTATTATAGGAACTATGGTTTATAATTTCGATATAATTAGTACTGAGTATTATTAGTCTATGTTTTATATAATCTATTAGTCTTTGTTTTTCACCTTTGAGCTTAATCATTGCAACCCAATTACTAGTAGTTAATCACTTATGACTTGTTTGCGCACCTGATAGTTAGTAGTAACCATTTTTTAAACCTAATAAGTTTTAATATTAATTTTATTTGGTAGATTAGTTAATGATGATTTGCATCACTATGTGTCATCGTCGTCTCTCTCCTTGTTTGGCCACCAACCGGTACTTGCATGCATGATTAAAAAAGAAATTATAAAACGCACAGGTGCATGGCGTATCATACGGAGCCACTCAACTTTTTAGCACAAGTCAGAGCCACCAAATTTTTTAATTGAATAGTTACCATAATTCCATTAAATAAATGGGAAAAATTACTCTTATAAACTACTCTTATGTTACATGTAATAACTTTTTTTTTACACATTCTTATAATTGTGCCATTTTTTTCTTTTTATTTTTCAGATGGTGGATCCCACAAATTTGTCTCTATGATATGAGATAACTTATCTCCTTTAACATGAGATTAATAAAACTCTAAAGAAATAGCATTTTTTTGGCTCTCTATTCTATATATAAAATATAATGCCAATTCATAGACTTAGCTCATGCTATAACTGTCCGCAGCCAATTTTAAAAAAGCCACAATTGAGTTTTGAGTATATCGTGATTACGTCAATCATTTCATTTTGACATCATTCGCTAGGTGAAATTGCATTATTTTGGAGTTTATTAAGGTCTTCAATCATACAAATGGATAGACTATTCAAGAATGTTCAGGTTACCACCATTCGATTGAGGAGGGAAAAGAAGGAAAATCTTTATTCAATATAAATATAATATATATATACAATATCCCATCATTTCTTAGTATTTTTCTGGATGAAACTAAAATTTACAGTGAGGGGTCTTTTCCCTTTTTAAGGTTAGAAAACTACCAACCCTAATGAAAATTCATAATGTGATTATATATGTCAACAAGGATTTCTATATTCCAAACATCCATAACTCATGTGCTATTATTATGAGCAAAAATTTAATCAAATGAGTTCGTTCCTATCATCATTTCTTAATTGATTGAACATATCAATAAATTAATATTTCACGTGATGTCAACATGGCAAAAGCATGTTTTTTGTTTTGTTTTTTTTTTAATATTTTTTTTTAAGTATTTTCCTCCGTTAAAATTGTTTTTAACCTTGAAGTAGGCGCTTACTGGCTGACTCGACCAAAAAACAACTAAAGAAAAATTCTAAGATAGAGTTGGTATAAGAGTGATGTCCTATCAAACTGCATCACTAAATTGTCTCTAATTTCAGCCATCTTAAGTAATTTTAAACCAGTTGAAAATTTCAAAATAAATAACAATTAAAATCAAAGATATTAATAGTTTACATAACTAATTTGTATAATAGATTTACGTTCTCCCCAATTAATATGATCAAATCCCTTTTTCCTCCATCTTTAATTAAAGCTAATTCTCCTTTGAGCTTGATCACGGCTACGAATAATTCATAGTCTTGTTTCCATGAGAATTCAGTTTTAGAATCAACATTTGTCGTTATTGCGTATAGAGACAAAGCATTGCAGTGTATAAGTTTGGAGCCACGTACCTCATTACTAGCTGTTTGGTTTCCCAAAAAACGTTGTTTATGTGCTGTCCGTTACCGCGTCATTAGTTGATTTATATGTTTGTAATCCACGGCAGCCATAATTCATAGAATGGACAAACATATGCTGATGCTGTTCCATTGGATAATTTTGAGACATTCTACTGAAAATTTTTGCAAGTTTTGGTGAAATCTAGCAAGTGGGTTTCATGTAGTTATTGGCTTATGAGTAGAATTAGTCTCAGCTATTATTTGATAGTTACGTGTTCCTCTTAATTAATTTTTCCATTAAAAACTCTTCTGCCATCCCAACCTCACCTTTTATATTGACATAAAATTAACAACCACCAAATGAGTGGCTATTGATGTAGATTTAGTGATAACTAGGCATCTATTCTTTATTAAAATATAAAGTGCACGTACATGTGTTTCTAATTAGTCAAAATAATCATATTTTAAGTTCTCCTTCGCTCCTCTTTCCATTTTATATCCCCCATGATGATAATTATAAATAGAACTCGACACAAGTGGAGAATCGAAGTAAAACAAAGCCAAGGCTTAACTTGTTGGTTTTATAAATCACAAATTTTCCTAAAGCAATCCCATTCTTCTTTTCTCTTGTATACTTCAATTTGGATTTGAAATAAGTGTTTAACATAATTTTTTTTGTTTAATAGGTTTTTATTGATTAGATCTAGAGGTGTCAAAATAGACTCAAATTCGTAGGTTAGACGGCAAAGTCATATATTCAACCCTAATTCACATGCCCTTTTTGCAATAAGGCCATTTAAAGACCTAACCCCCAAAACCTATTATTTAGTGGGCTTGGTTGGAGTTTATCCCAGGGCCAAGCTTTTTCTTTTATCAAATTTTTTATTATTTAAAAATTAAAATAAATTTCTATTTATATATTTATAAACATAAAATAAATTATAAACCATAATAAAATAATAAAAACATACTCTACATATATAAATATGTAGAATATATAAAATAAATATATATTGTAATGATTCAATGATAATTTATTTATTTATTTTAGTTGTTGTTTTGAATTATTTTAAGTGAAAGATATTTACTTCTCGATTTAAAATTATATTTTATTCATTCTAAAATGATATTTGCAATAAAATTAACTATCAAGTTATAATATATATATAAATCCTTTATTTTTTTACCAAACAAATATATATATATATATATATATATATATATATATATATAAATCCAGCAGTTAAAAATGCACTTCTATCAACATTTCAATAACATGAAAGAGATAAACTTATATTAAAATATGAATTTACATTGTCTGGATCATCCAAATTTGAATCCAATAATCAGAAATATTAAAATAAATTATTTGTTGGATCAATCCACAGTCCATTCAAAATTATAATTTCAAAAATTTAATTTTTCTATTAGATTGAATGCATTTAAAATTATTTTAATAAATAAATATTTAACACTTTCGTAAAACGTTCTATGCAAAAAATAATTTTTGCATATTTTATTTTTTTAATAAAATAATATTTGCACACAAATATATAAGTGAAAATATAAGAAAAAATATTTTCTCAATAATCCTTGAAAATTTAGTTTTATATTAAAATCATTAAAGTCCTCGCGTCTTATTATGTCTTGGAATAATAATATTTACTTTTAAATGATACTCTGTGAAGAATTGTATTATTCATTAAAAATTTCAGTATAGATGAAAAATTTAATAGTTCTATTTTTTCAGTAAAAATAAGTTAAATAAGATTTTGTATAGCCCATTCAACTTTTTTTTTTATTGTAACATATCAATTAATGCTAAAATTTTAAATAATTTTCATAATTAAAATGTTTTACTACATTTTTATATTTTTAACATTTTTAAAAGTATAAGAGGATGTTCATAAGAATCGTAACTATAGAAAGCTATTATGTGTTGTTCTTATAGATTTTAAAATCATAATTATAGTTTTATACAATTAATAAATGTTTAATTGAAGATTTAGTTAAAATATATAAAAAATTAGAAACATAAAAATATTATAATTTTTTTAGATTATATGAAAATTTTCAAAATTTAATTAAATTATAAAGATTTACAAAATAAATTACCTATTTATAAATTTACCGACAAATGTCAAGAGTACTTTATTATTTGTTATCTTGTTTAAAAGAAAAAGAGAAAAATTAAAAGTAAATCTAAAAATAAATTTTCTCATGTTTGATTTTAACATTGAACGAGCTGACACTACTAGAAAATGTTTTTTTTTCGACGGAAAAATTCCGTCGAAAATAGTTAGTTTACCATACGAAATTCAAACAAGGGCTTTGTTACACACCCTAGACACAATAGATAGGAGATCTTTTGGATGGGGAAATGAAGTTTTATAAATATAATATAAAATATAAAATTATTTATCTTCATCTAACCATTTAAGTTGAAGGGAAATTTGGTTCCCCTCTATGATATTTTTTAGTATATGTAGATGAGTTTGTGCATTGTCCATCCTTCAATGCTAATAAACTTTTGTTTAAGTGGATGTGTTAAAAACATAATATAAAATATAAAAATATTCATCTATCTTTAGTAAACAACTTAGTCTTTTGAGTTGAATTAATACACTTTTGTTGACTGATGTGCGTCTAGCATATGGTGCTTTCTAACTTAAAAGAAGCAAGAAATTAATCATAAATATGTGAAAATAAGTCATAAATGCAAGAAATATTGATTATTCTTTCTCAATCATTCTCTCACTCAAGTTAAGTGTTTTAATAGCAGGAAATGTCACAAAAGGGAGCAAAAGCAGAGAAGTCAAATTTTCCAGCTGGCGCACGGTGCGCGGGAGGCGGCGTACGGTGCGCCATTTTATGAGTTTCTCCCCTGCATCCCGGTGCACGGTGCTCGGGAGGCGGCGCACGGTGCGCCATTTCACAGTTTCCCTTATGTTTTCCCAAGCATGGTGCGCCAGACCTGGCGCAAAGTGTGTGGGCAATATTTTTTAACTCCAATCTGATGCGAATTACTCAAAAAGGAGGCCCAATTGGGGAGCAATTGAAAGTAGGTTCTCCCAAAACCTAATAAAAGAATCAGAAACATAGGAAGGAAGCACTTTTTGACAACAAGAAAGAGAAAAACAACAAAGAGAGGGAGATTCCTTGAGAGTTTCTTGGAGTTTCAAAGATTCGATCGATCAAGACGGAAGATCTTCATCTTCTTTCTCTTCTTTAGGTTC